GTTCAATAAAGATAATATCGCTATCATTTGTGTCAAAATTGTATTCAAAGAGATTTTTTATAAAAATCTACCAATGCGATTAATTGTAATTTAAAGCTGCAGTAATTTATTCTGCTTAACCCAGGATCTGTCACAGATCTTATAAAGTATAAGCAATGTGTTAAAATAATTGATTACAATTATAAGTATTCACATGTACTTTTTGGCTTTTGCAGCTCAAACATTTTCCAAAAATACATACACCCTGATTACACCTTTAGCTAAGTGGATTAAGGTTAGGATTTCAAAGGAAATAAAGTGATAATGAAAGAGAGTTAAATTTCATGTGTATGTGATTGAATATGGGGTGACACAATGTTGGATATTCTTGCATATAGATACCGGCCAGAGAACAAGAACATGGAATTTTCTCGGAGGATTGAAGCAGAAATTTAATAGAAAGTATATAGTGCTGTAATGATATGGAATTAATTACTGTTTTCAACAACTAAATGAACAGGCTGTCTTTTTGTCAACAGGTCTTGGATTTCGATCTGCAATTTTTGTTTGCAAGCTGCATGTGCTCAACTTCCAATGCAATTTTTTTCCTTTCTAAATCCAGGACTTCCAATTGCATTTTTTGACTGTCCTGAGTACTTTACGTTTGTTTGCTGCCTTTGTTTGGTATAAGTAGATCTGCAGGTACCTCTTGTATCAGTGGATCAGGTAACTCTTCCATAAATGGATCTGTCATATCTGGTTGCAAATCTTCCCAATGTCTGAGGATGAACTGCATTCTACATCAGCTCACAGTTAATAGAATATACATGGTTTGGAGACTACATGAAAGTACAATAGAACTCATTATCTATGTCGGGAGCATTTATGCAAAAAATTGTTCCTTATTTGTCATGTGTCTATTATATTGTGAACAAGTAAACCAATAGTAAAGTCTAAATTAACATGTTGTTCAAGTCATGGTTGAGGAGCTAAGCGAAGCCATTGCTATTGGTAAGTTGGGCTAAAATAGAATAGACATGTGACGAATAAAGAACCATTTTTTGCATAAACCTGGACAATAACATAGATAATGAGTTGTATTGTACTTCCATCTAGTCTCCAAACCATGTATATTCTAATAACTGTGATCAGATATACTGTGCCTTATTGCACACTCTGGCTTCAATGTTGACACACTAGCTCCTAGAAGACACATAACAATTACTAGGTTGCAAGCTAGTTTTATGTTTATGGCAGCATCATAAATAAATCACAATGAAGGTTGAATATAAGTTTGTATCACATCTGCATAAAACAGGTTGAAACTCAATTGAACTATGAACCACCAAACAGTCAAAAGTGCCAAAGCACAAATTATGGAGCAGCACGGCTCAAGCATTGTCATTTTACCTGACTCAAATCAACTCAACTGAATCCCTGCAAATCCAGGTTTTTGTTTTTCCCACCTTGTGTTATGTCAAATGTGCATTGCAAAAAAACGGTTTATTCTGGGTTAGAGATAAACTTATTCTAGAATAGTTAAACGCATTGCTAAACCGACTTCATACAACACAATTTTATCCAGCGTTTAACTATACGCAGGGTAGGAAATTTAAGCAGTGGATAGGGGCTACAACCGGCCCCTGTTGTGATTGCATGCTCATGTATAGGGACATAGGGTTAGAAAAGTTGCAAAAATTTTATCCTCTACTATTTGCAAAGTAACTGTTCTATGGACCAACATGTAAATTGGTTGCAGCTGATGTACTGTTTCCTTTTTTTCTCTTTCCCACTCTTTAAAAGTTCCACAAATTTGATTGATTTTGAAAGTTGCAGTCATGATGATAGTACTCATGATAATAGTACTCATGATAATAGTACTCATGATTCAGGGTCATCTCTATGCTGAAAGATATATTCACTGGTGTGAATACATTATTCAATACGACACGACAACTGGAAAAGAGCAAGCTGAGATTGAACAAGTAATAAAGATGTCCCATGGAAGCATCAATATGGCAGCTGATCAACATATTCTGAAAGTATGGACAGTATAGATCAATTCATGTCAACCACGTAATAAAAAAACAGTGGAAATTATGTAAAATTTAAACATTTAAAAATTCATTTTACACCTAATGTTTCAACTAGACTTTAGTCATAATCAAGAAATGATTGATGATGAGGTAACATATTATGTCCAAGTATATATAGTGAAGTATGACAATAACATTGTTTGGTTAAATAGTATTTCTTTGAAAAAACTACACCTGACTATGAAACTTACTTTCAACCATGGAGGAAAACTTCAAGATTTATTAATAATTAAACTAGACCTTATCAATTCACTATATATATTTGGACACATGTTATTCCATCAATCACTGTCAATCATTTCCTAATGATGTATAGTATACGGTCAGATCACAGGCAGCCCAAGTAATGCTGGCGCGCGCGCGCTACCTGCTGTGTTGATTTGTTATATATTATACCCAAGGTAGGCAAGTATATCGCTAATTTACATCAGACACCCTCTACACGTCGTTAAAATATAAAGAAACTACGCGGAGAACAGCAGAAAAAACCTAAACACTTTGAAGACTGATAATTTTACTACATAATTACAAACTAATATGTTAAAAAACAATTTAGACTGGCTAGAAACGAGGCAAAGTTTACGAGGTTTTTTCAATTTTTGTCGCCATTTTTCGTGTCCATTTGCGGGATACCTCAAACGGCTATGACGTAAACTAAAAAGCATTTCTATTGGCTAACAAACATAAACAAACTTTGCCCAGAAATCAGCAACCGGGGGGGGGATCTCAAAAAAAAAATTAAAGTCAATCACAAATGTCTACGCGTAAAATATAAACAAATTAGGTAAATCGCGTTATAGCTCCAATTTTTTTTGTCTACTAAATATTTGAACTGAAAAAACAACATGTGAGCAAGAAAAGCAAAAAAGAGATTTTGTACGGTAAGTAAATTTATACTTTTTCTGTATTTTTTCGCTTTAAAGCTGCATTTTATTGACACCTAAACCATAAAAATATTACGCTTTTTGAACTCAGTATCAAATATTGAAATATATATTCTTACGCAAATGAAGGACGTCGTATGATATGGAGAGGCAGAAACCCACTGGTTTCCTTCGTACTTTTTGTCTGGTACGTTCCCAATATTTTATGTATTTTAGTTTTTATATTCATTTGTATACGACCGAAATGTCGGTCATTTATCTTGTAAGACAAACCATTGCATTTAGTTTCTTTTTTTATCGCCGGGTTTTCGGGGTGAAATTCGTTAAAAATAAACGAATAAGTATAAAAAATATAATAATAAAAGACTTAATTGGTTAAAAACAAACAAAAGGCACGCTGAAACAGACTATAATTGTGTTCAGTATTTAACGAAATTGATTTAATTTATTGTCGCAAAGTCGCTATACGTAATGCCTAATACACATTGTCATAGTTCGCACAGCCACCGACATGCACATACATAGTCATAGTATAAGAAAAAATACTTTAATTCAAACAGTTTTCAGCCAGACTACTGTGGATACGAGCAAAAAAGAAATAGGTGACGCAGTGGTGAAAAACACACATGCTTGTATTATTAGTAGACATCGAAAAAATAGTCCCTTTATGAATATCGAAGCCATCTTGTTAAAAAAAACATTGAACGCAGTAATGTCGAACTATGTTTATTTAGCACATTTCTTTAAAACGTTTGCCGAGATATAGGCGTTTATACTCGATGTAGCGTTTTTTAAGAGAAGCTAAAAAATGGTCTAAAATGCCGGTCTGTTAATTTTTTGCGCCGCTCGGTAGTCCTTTCTATATAATGGCGAGAACGATGGAATACGAATGGAAAGATTATTGAAAACTGCACTTACCCAGTTGACCGTATTAAACGTAGATTCTATAAACTTGGAGACTGAAATATCTTGTTTAGAAGAACACAGACATAAACATTCAAGTCATTAAAACCAGTCACGAAATCCGATATTAAATTGCTGTTCAAAAAGGTATTTTTACATTAATAATAATGTCCAAGTTCATATATCCATGTACACATTGTTTTCTGCAGTAATGCACAAAGTTTTCTCGCAGTTAAAAGAACAAAAACCCACAAATTTTTCAATGCCGTTTCGAATGTCGCCCACATGTCCATATTTAATTATGCTGTTACTGTTAAAAACCATTCATCCCAGACGATAATCGGCCGGTTTAAAACTCCATTTTCGTAGTAAAATCCCCACATGATGTTTTTAGTAAAACACAAAGCTTTCTCGCAGCCCAGTGCAATAAAAATCTCAAACTTTTCAGGCCTTTCGAACGTCGCTCGTATCCATATTTGATGCTAGTGTAAACCATAAAAAACATTCATCCCACGCGATGTTCGGCCGAATCAAAGCCAAATTTCGATTCAATTTTAGAAGACAAATGTCCATACATTGTAATGAATGTATTGCAAATATTTCTTGCAGTCAAAAACGATAAAAAATACAAGCTTTTCTACGTTTTTTTGCCGAACATTTCCTTTTCGTTGCAAGCACCACGCTTGAAAAGTGAAAACTGTTGCAAAAAACCTGCTTGACCAGTTTCGTAGGTTTCATAATTCAATGAGCCAATAAGAAACGTGCGTGCTTCCATTGAATTTAATTTATTTAGAATTTGCAAAATTCGACAACATCTGGGGGGGGTGGAGTGCAACCTACCCTAGCCCCTGGGCCCGTATGCCTATCCATGAGAATGAATGATATTTTCCATAGTAATTATCGCTACTCTGGTTTTAATAAATCAAGACGCAAGATGGGTCGTGATAGTTAATCTTTGTGTGGTGATTACTTTCATTTATTAAAACCAGATTAGCGATAATTACTGTGGATTATATACCTGGTTGCCGTGAACTCATTAACTTCAATTCGAATGATATTTTGTTGTAAAATGGTAAAATAATCAACATTTCTAGGAATAATATTTGCGTTAATTTAATTTATGTAGTGAAAAGCAAATATGAATATCAAGTTGACAAAGGAGCAGGATGATGTCGTTAATTTCGCCTCAACTAAGCATAACATGTGCATTTTCGGAAAGGCGGGAGTTGGCAAAACAACGGTTGTGGAAAGCATGGTAAAATCACTGACGGCAAAAGGATTAAAATGTCAAATTGTGTGTTCGAGTGGAATTTCGTGCGACGCATATCATGGTACGGCGAAGACTGTACATTTTCATTATGGGTTGCAGACTGCAGAACTTCCTGCCAATGCGCTTATAAGCCGTTCTTTGGAAAGAAATAACATCTGCTTGCAGATTGCAGGCACCCAAGTTTTAATATGGGATGAAGTATCCATGTCGAGCCACCGCATATTCCATATTGTTAATGCAATTCATCATCTGGTCTCCAACAATGATCTTCCATTTGGCGGAATTCAAGTTATCCTTGTCGGTGATTTCTAGCAACTGGGTCCAGTTCCAAGTCCACTCGATCCTGGAAACTCTATCATTTTCTCGAAACTTTTTGACAAAGTTTTTCCGCATCGATTCGAGCTACAGAGAGTATTGCGGCAAGGGGAAGATGAAGAAAAGTTGAAAAATGCTTTAGATCTTATACGAGTAGGTAAATGCAATGACGAGGTAGAACAATATCTCCAAAGCTTAGCCAGAGATTTGAATTCGTCTAATGTTCCTTCAGAAAAGATCCACATATATTTTAAGAAACTTCCAGCTGAGATCCACAACCTAGGTGCCTTGGCGGAAATTCCAGGAGAACTTACAATTTTCGAGAGCAAGGACACTGGTAACGCCCGATCTTTGGAGAAAACCGTTAGCCAAAGTCTCACCGTGAAACCTGGATGCAAAGTTATGTTTCTCTACAACATCAATGACGATTTGAAAAATGGATACAAGGGCGAGTATGTTGGTATCAATGAAGACGAAGAACACCTTATTGTCAACTTTCCGAAAGTCGGTAATGTCCCCATTGCTCGCAGAACTTGGTACAAGTTTGATACCAATGGAAGGATACAAGGCAGTCGTACTCAGTTTCCACTCGCACCTTGCTACGCTATCACTGTACACAAAGCGCAAAGCACGACCTTAGAACGTGTAGTGGTGCATTGTTCCCAAGAGTTTGTCCCAGGCCAAACTTACGTTGCTCTGTCAAGAGTCACCAGAGAAGCTTCTCTTCAAGTCTTTGGCTTCCGAAGGAGTTTCCTTTTACCACCTCCTCCCGAGTTGTCGGATTTTGATTTGAATAAGATGGGAATCATGGACCAGTACTTTGGCTGTTGCAGTGGTATGCATCTGGAAGAGAATTTCTTTGAATGCGATCAAGAGTGCGAGACAGATTTGGCCGAAGAGATGGACAATCTGGTGCAGCATAACGATTTTACTTCCGCTGCTTCTTCTTATTTCGAATCGAACAGTGGTGCAGTCATCAATCTGGGAGATGTCTTACTATGCATGTCCGACTTCAGTAATGAATTGTCGAAACCTCCTTCATCTTTCAGCGTGAAAGCATTCCTGGAAAAAATCATCAACGACGCTAATGAAGATTCTTACAGCCAATCGGTTAAATCTGCAGCAAAATATGGCACTCATAATTTAGATGATTTTGAATTATTAGCATGCCTATTTTGGTACAGAATTTTCTAATTGTTTGAAAACTATCTTACTGAGAATTTGGAAGAGCTTCATATGACAAACAAAGATTTCACGTGTGCCTCATCGAAACTTCAACTCCTTTTCTTGTCCCAAGAATATCGAAGTGACCTGATAAGCGCGTACAATGTTAAGAAGTGGATTGAGATTGATGATGGGCAAAGAAGCGTAGGTGCTTTGCTTCTCTTCCATCTATTTCAACTGTTTGGAACGGAAGTTGGAAAGCGTGTCAGACAAAAAGAAGAACGTGCACCAATACGTTTCAACGTTTGCGAAATGGGACCAGATGGGCGTGGAAAAGTGCGATATGTGGCAGGATGGGCTATCAGGAAATGTCTAAACAGATGAAAAAAATCGACCTGTTGGAAAACTATATTACATTACCACACGAAGCCGCGCAAGTGTCAACTGCATATCCGGAAAGTCTTCGCGTGATTGAGGCTCGGCAGTACCGAGAACGCGGTCTGATCCACATTAGCGATGACGCATTTGGCTTTTTTATGGCACTAGAGCAAGAATGTGTTGATAAAATCAATATTCAGCGGTTGTCATCCTTACAAAACGACATGGTTGATGACGCTATTGCTGAAGCTGTTAGCAATTCGACTCTGGAAACTGCGTTCTTGAAATTGTTCTTTCCAGATGCTGATGCAAACATGGTATTTAATAGTACACTAACCGGGTCGCCCAAAGCCAAACGAAGCACTTTTAATGCAATAACCTTGAAAAATGAATACAATACGGTGTTTAGGTAGAAATATGGAAATGCTCATCCTTGTATCGTCTTGACATTTCCATATTCTTGCTTAAAGCAGAATACTGGATTTCAGAGATCAGGGTTATTGCGTTAAAAACGCTTTAATTCTGTTTACCATAATTTTATAATGTTATATGTACTGGGTAGTAAACCATATACACTGTATAACATTGTACTTTTTCTCTTTATGAACAGAACGTCATTTTTGAAATGTTTGAAGAGATCATCGAAAGATATTTCAAGATGGGGGCAGGGCAGTTTTTACGTGATTTCCGGAGAGATTTTCACATAAAGAAATCCCTGGCACATCGAGAGGCTGTTCTTCACAAGAAGAAGAAGGCGGAAGATAAGCGTATGAAAGTTCAAATTCCGGAAATCGAACAGGATCGTAGCCTGGGAAAGAATGTTTCCCACGTGCGCCTACTAGACCTTGTGCTCAAACTAGGAAGTGGGGGAATTGCACGTCTATACAGTAAAAAAGAGTTGCAGCATTTATCTGCCGCATACAACATCCGATACTTATCTAGATGGAATAAAATGAAATTGGCGTCCGAACTTGCCCAAACAATACCCCAATTAGATGCTGTTCCATGCCACGAAATCACATCGACCTACACCGTTGATGTTCTCGATGAGAATCCTCATGGAATTCCTGTATTAAGAATTCGCAGGCTGTGAAGACAAATGTGACTACTATACTTAAATATCATCCGAAAACACTCAAACTGAGTTAATTATCCACCTAACTCATTTCCTAAATTTAAAGAATAGGTTAACAAACAGATATGTTCATTCAGACTACGTGCGTAATATTGTTCATTTATTTATTAGTTCGTTTGATACGCATGCAGTTATGAAATATGGTAACTTGAATGCAGCCTATATAAATTAGTTTAAGAAATTAAAAAAAACGAGATCTCGCGTGCGTTCGTAGCTGCAGTTTATTTTTTAATTGTTAAATCATACAACATTAATAATGTTGGAAAAGTTATTGTTTGAAGTCACTTCACATTGACCAACCCAATCGCAGAGTTAGATGTTTCCAGACGCCTCTTCTTGGAAAATAGGTGCTCTTTTGGAAGCCCAGCAAACGAATGATTTTTCCCGGTGCCAGTATTGCCCTTCCTGCTAATGGTTGTCTGTCCAAATATAATAGAGTTCTGGGTTCCTTGCGTCGCAAGGTAGGTTGGGTTGTCATTCTGCCCATTTGCTCCTCTTATCTGAGAAAAATGATTCTCCATACAGTCCTGGTTGATAATCGCTGGTTTGACGACTGATCCAGGGAACCGTCTTAGCTTCGTCTGTACCAGGGAAATAAATCCGTGAATCATGGACTGGATATCGAACCACAATTTTTGGGAAATGAATTCATCTCCCTTAGTTACCCCTTCTTTCCAAGTTGAAAAGAAAAGAAGTGTGGCCTGCAGTGATTGCAATCGGCTATCAGCAACATCATAAATTGCGTGCTTATCGGAAAACAATTCTATCATTTGGCTTGTATGCTTTAGCAAGGCAATTGTCTCGTCAAGCTTACTTGGATCTTTATCCGGAAGAGTGGCAAGGTGATCTTTATACGCCTAGATAAAAATTAGGAGGCCTGCGTCACACATATCCGGTATCAGTATATAACGTTAATCATTCACAGTGTGTATACAGTTAATGCATTAATGATTTTCCTTCAATTAATTCAAACATAAACCGTACGGAATTTGTTGCCCTTTTGTAGCCAGTACCTTCATAAGATAAAGCATCTTCTTGTCCAGCACATCCTCCGCCAAACCGTTTCGCATTCGGGAACTCGGGGTCAGTTGGAAGTTATCCTCCTTTAGCTTTTCGTGAATGGGACAGAAATTGTTCGTTTGATCCCAAAGATACGCATCCTTCCAATGTGCCCAAAAAATGTTTTTGCCGCCTTTTGTCAAGCACCTTGCGCTTCCAACATGGGGAGAACTTTTTTCAATATTATTTCTCACTTTCTTGAAATTATGCTGCATAAAAAAAATCAAAAAAACTAGTTGATCTAGTTCCCGTGATTGTATCCTATATTTAATTGATTTCAAATTGTATAATTCACCTTGCAATCCATTATAAACATCATGGGATCCTCTGTAAACATGTTGTACCCAACAAAGTGCAAGTCACTTGGATTAAAATTAGGAAAGTGGATTTTAAAGAATTACCGGTTTGAATCTCCACCATCGCATAAGGAGTAGTAAATTCTGGAAAATGTAAAATAAAACTTAAAATTAAACTGTGCATATTACTGTATTAACTTTTATTTTTATAAAAGAAAAGAGGAAAGATCTTGCAATATTGCCACCATGATTGTGCACGACTACAAATAAAAACCAAATTAGCATCCACAAATGAAGTGTCTACATAACAACTTGTGTTGCATGTACATTAGGCAGCCCAGTAATGCATGTGTGTCAGTTGTATATATGAACAACAAAAACGTACGTAAAACCGGCACTCTTCATTCGCATCACACCTTCCCAAAATTGAAGGTATAGAACGGAAGCAGGACATTGAGCGGTTGGGAAATGGGCGAGCGGGAACCTGTATCCACCATCACTAACAAATATGAATTGAAGCAAATGTGTTGCGACTTGTACAGATGACTCCCCTATAAAAAATTTGCAATCAAAAACGTTTGCAATAAAACTATTATATAAGACATATCATATCACATTGCATGACCATACTATATTATATACATGCATAAAGCTTTTACCAGTTTCGATCTTTCTTATGTCCTTGTAAAACTTTCCAAGAAAGACCATGCCAGTAAGCTGATGACGACCACCTTTGACCGTCATTTGTAAATCTTCCTTTTAGAATGCGAAACGTAAAGAGTCAATAGTTTCTTGTTATGCTAGTGCACGCATTTCTTGACTATTCCCTACATTTGTGACAAAATTTTAGATAATTTAGTATATAGTCATAAATAACTTACCTGTATTTTCATTTCGTTGAGAACAAGACCCCCCCAGTACTCGTCTTGTTTCAAGTTGTGACGCTCTGCTTCCGTTTTGCACCAACTAATGATTTCGCTATTCCACCCCGGTTGTTGACTGACAGAATTCTTATAGTACCTGGAACACAAGACAATCTATAGCATTGTGGTACAAGTCTGCCATATTCACCACTGTTCTGTAATTCATCATCACCTGATAAGACGATTGCTTGGCAGAATGACAAATTCACGCATTGAATCCAATACTTTTGGATTTTTGCAATAGAGATCCAGTGCAAATCTCACAACTCTGCGAAAAATAAAATTATAAATTTAGAGAAATATGTAAGCATATAGTACACAAAACAAAAAATATCACTCGATAATAACCATTGGTTCAATTGCATCTTAAAATTTTGTTGGTCTGACATATAAAACTTAAAAATTAAAAAATATTGAATTTGTTACACAATGTTACATATAAATATTGAAATATAAACCTTGGATTCCATCGAAAACCCTTCGACGATTTGGCGGATAGCTGTTTAAGCTGTTGTTCCCAAAGAAGTTCCATGCCAGCAGGGGCTAAAGCACTATCAGTACTCTGAAGGATATGTTGCAAGTCCATATGATCCTTCTCAACAAACTCTATCATGTCATCTACCTTCGACCGAGCGTCCCGTTTTACGTCGTTTAGAACCGTTTTCCTTTGGATGGTTATTTTCTCCTCTAAACCAATACGATCCAAGTAACGGAGATTACACTTTTTATTTGGAGCTTCTGAAATAGTTGCCTTTCGCTTATTTTCACGATTCTGGTACAGCTTTTAATGAATATGCGCAATTCTGGCATGTATTAGAACCACGATGTGTAAGAAGCAGACAGGAGGAGGAGATTAGCCGCTGGTGGTTTCCAAGCTCACTGGAATAAGCATTAATATTTTTCGAGTGGGAAACTGGTACTTTCAGAAATTTAGTGCCTGTTCTCTCATCAATAACATGGCCTAAGCAGGGCACTGGACTCCACAAGACGGATAGCATTGTCGATAGTACGAAGTGACAACTGAGTTTTATCACATCCCACAATATCTTCCAAGGGTATGGCATGACCGTAAGTGCTTAGTGTCAGCTTGGGACTTGGAGACACTACGATGTCAAGCTCGAATATCAAGCGTCGACCATCTACAGTTGTGTGCTTTTCAATCTCTTCGGGTGAGAACAACTTTAAGAGGGTTAAGGACTTTCGGCTTGAGCAACCCTGGGAGTTAAAAACCCATCCTTG